TACGCGAGTTTGTCCGGTGGATAACGCTATCCAACGTTTGAACAAGCTAGACATGGTTTTTATATGATAAGAAATGGGACATTTTTACGTACCTAACCGACCACTTGGCGAAAGAGACTAACTGGGAAAACTAAACGTTTATGATAAATACGAACTTACCACCAAACTATGGTCAAAGTCCTTGTTTTCTGGCAGAGATTTGTAGTATTTATTCTCGTCAAGAGATGAATGCCACGGCAAATAACAAATGATTTGTTTTGCAGGGCGTTATTTTAAACCGGTAGTCACAATTCTCCTTCACAGCCCTAAAGTAAAAAGTTAATGAGGACGGTTGTAGATCACAGAACAAAACCCGCAAGACAGTGAGAGCCTTCAGTTGTTTGTAAGAACCTAACATTTGCTAGGCTTAGACCCCCTATATGTAAACACATGAACCTGATAAGCCCTAAAATTTGAAACAGGTTGTTATTTTCTAAAATCAAGTACATGTATGTTATATTCCGAAAAGGGACTTCAAAATTCATGTGATCAGTGCTTCATTTTCTCCTATAGTCATTTTAAATAAATAGTTCTTTGGTAGGCAGTTTTGAAATAAGGCCGGCGGAATAGGCAGAATATCAATGAATTATATTGGCTTTCTCAAGAAAATAAGGACCTGTCTAAGAACCCAAAAAGGCTAAATTTGTGCTTATTTCCATTTATGTAAGCATCCTTTTAGTGATAACTTCAGGGGCACCCAACGAGAATATAGTTCAAAACCACTTAAACATAGCACTGTTAAACGTATTTTAGTATTTAAACGATAGATATAGGCATATTTTTATCCCATGAAATTTGTTTATCTGTTCGGATTTCCTAGCTGAAAGTCTAGTGATCCGAAAATTATAGGGATCGAAACTTACCTTTTCGAAAATTTCAGCCAGAAAAAAGGCTCCCGAAAATTCTAGGTGACCTTTTTAGAGTAAAGATTCGTTAAAAATGGACAATTATATCATTTTTTAGATGTACGAAAATCATAGGAGAGGCAGGCAAGTAAGAAATTTTACAACAAATGTTCCGAAAATTCTAGACCTCAAATCGTCTTCCGAACCGATATTTTCCCAAAATTGACGTTGAGTGCCTCTGTAACTTGCAATTGGGATGGTTGTACAGATATTTTTCGTCAATAAATCGAGGTTTTTTTATGATGAACGTGTCATTGTGTTAACAGTATAATGCCTTCTCCGTTGTAGTTACGATTTTTGCCATATCACTATACAAAAAGATGCTAACCTGTAAATCCGAAATGGATGAATCTGGGAAGCTATTAATGTCGAGCGTCAATCTGTTGATGGCCTTTTTAAGGCCTGTCCTAAATGTAAATATTTCTAGCCTATCTACGGCAATAGTGTGTTAAATTTCTTGTTAAGTTTACATCTTGACCAAATATTAGTTTGATACCTGTTATTAAGTTATAAGCTGTATTGTGGTGGCGAGGGCCGCTTTTTAACACACTCCGATGGTGTTAAAAATTACCGCTAAAGCAAAAGCAGTTCCCGCGTTTTCACCGAGTACAGCGCCATTTTTACGCGCGAAATTTCATAGCGACTCGTCTGATTTTTTTAAACCCGATAAAGTTCTAATGGTCGCTTTCTTTGAACTTTTTGACGTTGCCATGGTTATGACTCACGATAAATTTATCTCGGGAGCAACGGGTTACCCGTACACTTTTGTGTAGAAATAACATAAAACAAACAGCAGTAGTACATCTGTGTCATTAGCAAAATGCATTCAATGACCAACTGTGAAGTTTCGTTATTAATCTATACATTTTAAAATGAGAACGGGAGTTAAACAATATGGGGGTTTGGTAGGGTAGCTAATGACAAAACGTGTGCTAAGTGCAGTGATTCAGTACTACTCTTTACTTATTCAAGAGTTATAGAACGTCAAAAGTGGTAACAAGGGTACCAGCTCCTGGAGAACTGAGTAGGAGAATAGGTGTTAACAACATTGTTCCCAGATTTCTCTCCTTCCCGTCCCCTCAGGCGCGTTTCTTGAAAGTGCCGGTAACTTTTCTGACCTAAGATAATATTCAAATCAAAATCTAAAGAATATACGGGTGGGTCCTACAGCTAACAAACCAGTCCATTTTGTATTGTTAACTGATAGTTTTATCATATTATCTGCTAAACAAGAGACTATAAAGGGGACAGAGAGGGCATCCCCCATATACACCCTATTCCATAGGTAATTCGTCTCGAGTTATTTTTAGAATCGGGATAAAGTTACCTCGCGCGAGGCGTGGATGTTTCGTGGAGGTTTCGCATGACCAAACACCGTGCAAAACATGTCGGGCGAGAGGCAATGAAAGCGTAAAAAGATCGAGAGCATTCCTGAATATTGAAGCGAAATGAGTCGGGGCTCACCTGGGAAAAAGGAATCGCTATTCCATAGAGAATTCGTCTCGAGTTATTTTTAACACCACAGATCTCAAGGGGGATTAGACAACAGCTAATCACATAGCGCGAATGTCTTCCGCGTGGATGACCCACGCTGAGAGCCACGCGTCCTTCACGAAATGACGCAGAACAAAATGGGGGAAGACGCGGAGAGCGATTTTGCTATTCCTTTTGTCGACGAAAACGACTACAGCGAGATTTCTACGAAAGCTGTGTCAGCGAAACCGAAATTAAAAAAGAATCGCCCTTTCTCTCTTGTATAGAGCTAACAGTAGAGCAGGGAAATCCTTAACAGACCTTAACACACTGAATATTCTCTCAGGATCATTTATAATTTACAGTTTGAAGAGAGCAATTTCTGGTTTGATGTTTATTTTTTTCAGTCTTTATAGCGATTATTCCTACCCACTTACTTTGTCAATTGTAGGCGAACCCTCCTAAAACTGAATTTCAAGGGACCATATTCAAGCTCAGAAAGAGAAATAAAATTTCGTCGTTGCTTATTTACGTCCTCCATAAAACGCGAAATTAGGCATTTTCACGTCGTAGTCGTGCAAAAACGGGAAAGAAATGAACAAAAAAGTGTGTTGCACGTGCGAAGTTGTTGTTTTGCTAATTAAACCTATTGTTTTTTTGACGTTCTAGTTGTCCAGTGACTCCTTTTTCCCAGGTGAGCGCCGACTCATTTCGCTTCAATATTCAGGAATGCTCTCGATCTTTTTACGCTTTCATTGCCTCTCGCCCGACATGTTTTGCACGGTGTTTGGTCATGCGAAACCTCTACGAAACATCCACGCCTCACGCGAGGTAACTTTATCCCCATTCTAAAAATAACTCGAGACGAATTACCTATGGAATAGGGTGTATATGGGGGATGCCCTCTCTGTCCCCTTTATAGTCTCTTGGGTAGGGTTAAGTGTTGTTAGAAGTTTTGGTGATTTTATTGACAGCTGTAGAAACAGCACTGACCAAAACAGTTATTTGGCCTGTGGACACGTACTGGACACTAAAAATGGTCACCGAGATAGCAATTGCAAAATCCAGGAAGAGGGGCGACCTTGGAGAGCCAAAGAGCGGCAAGATCAATGGCAGTTGCCAGCCACCCCCCTGGCAAAACCTGAATGATGTTTGTCTTTTCCTAGAGGTCCTTTATATCCCAGTTGGCCAGTTTGGAGAACTCATACTGTATGCGGTTTAAGGTTACTTGAGAACACTGAAGCATGATACATCCCTGTTTTCGCTCGAATTAATAGTTTAAAAAAATATGGTGATAATTGTATTCAACTTGTGTCTCACTCGTTCATGGCGAGTGTTGTCAAGATATAGAATTGAACATTCGAAGCCTCAAATAATGTTAATTTCTGGGCATTTTTCGGATATTAAGTACTCCAATAATCCAATCTAGTCCGTACAATTCTTCAACACGAATTGCTTGTCTGAGAAAAAAACAAAAACAAAAACAAATCCAAAAGAAACAAAGCATGAAAGAAATGAAAGTTATGTTCTCGTTACAGCCTAAAAGTTTTTTTCAGATCTAAAAAAGAAAACCTATCCCTAAAAAGCTAAGAGGAATTATTTCAACCAAAAGACTTCCCACCGATCCCCTGAAAAAGTAAATGACGTTCATTTGCATGAGCTAGTTTTTCAATTGCGGAGGAGGGGAGGGGAGGGTGGGGAGGGGTGCAAACCGTCTTAAAATACGCCCGCGTTTTCGCCTGATGAAGGCAGACGACGCTAACGTTCACCTTATACGTCACTTAAGAAGCGAGAAGGAGACTGGATCAAACTGCTATACAGCCGCCGTTTTCAGTGTCGTCACGCAACGCTCCTCCCCAGCGTCGAGTTGCGGAGCGTTGCGTGACGACACCGAAAACGGATGTGTAGCAGACTAACTTTTACCAGGAACAAGTACAAAAAATGGCCATCAGCTGACCGTCGCGTCCCCACTAAAGATCCCAGAAACAGATACTGGAGACAGTTCATCTCCACTAGCCTGGGTGGCAGGCGTTCGAAAAGGAAGGGGAAGGGAATTAGGGCGCGAGACCACGCGCGAGGGAGGAGGGTTTCCTTCCCTCCCTGCTCGCGCGCCCCCTCGCGTTTCTCTCGCGCCTAAAACTCCCTTTCCCATCCACGCAGGCTACATCTCAAGTTCCCTCCTTGTTTCTTAAGTGGCGAATTAGCTTAAAAGACGAAACTTCGAAAAAATAAAATTTCGCCCTTTAAGAGAAACCAATAGAAGCTGTAGTTTCATGACCGTGTTCAAGTTGGAATCACTCTCCTATCAAAAGAGAGTGTCCCTGAATCCGCTCCCCAGATATGTCAAAATAAAATAAATAATATTCTATCAGCGCAAAGTTTGCAGTTTTTCGGACCTTTACAACAACGCCAATGTTACCAGACAAGCTTTTTCCATGTAGCATACACATGCATATATACATTCTTATTTCCCATTTTACCAGCTCGGAGAGCCGTCTTAGTTCCTGAATCTTCTACTAATTATTGGCAGGTCTTTCGTTAAAAAAAATTATCCAATGAACACCAGAAGGTGTTTCCTCGAGTTTATACTGGCGTGCATCTGTAGAGATAATTGCTGCCCCGCGTTTCACTGTAGACACAATAGCAATGTACCCCACAGTCACAATCACTGTAGTGTAGATCAAACCGCCCGTCAACTGCCTTCACTCGACAGACGCGTGGACACGACCGAGAACACTGTGAAGACAAAACAACAAATAGTAAATGAAAGAGCGTCATAAAATTGAAGCTTTTAAAGGGGCATTGTCACGTCATGTGCTATGTCACGCCATCTGCTATCTTTTTATAAAGCTAAAACGTTTTTTGCATCAATTGAATTTAAAAAATAATGGTGCTGCTTTGTTCTTTAAGAATATACATGTATTTAGACATTGAAACTGTTTCCTTTCGTCAGTTAAAACAGATGGCAAGGATAGACGTGGATTGAAATTTGAAAAAAGTTGCTTAAAACTGTGCCAGCAAAAATCATCAAAATACTATTATGGTTAGTGCTCCCTGATGAAATCTGTTTGATTAATAGAGCGGTTTTCATTTGAGTGTCGAAAAGTAATTGGTTTTGCACTTTCTACACGATGCGATTGGCTTAAAAGATTCGCGTCACCTTTTCATCCAATCAGAAGTAAAACCAAAGCCAATTGTGACGCGCTCGCATGCATTTTCCCGCGCTTTGCATCAGCCACATGTAATTACTTCGAGTTTTGATTGGTTCAATGTATTGTCTGTGTCCTATGTGATTGGCCAGAGTAATTACTTTGGTTTTGGTTTTACGACACTCAAACGAAAACCACTCTACCTCTACAGGAGCGTTTTGTGTTGAAGTAAAGGCTCTAAGTAATGAATTTAGAAAGGATTGACTTATAACAGCAATATCCTCGCGGCAAAGCCATTTTTAGAAGAACTGAGAGGGGATATCACATCTAGAGGAGGTAACATGTGCCAAACACTAGAGACGCTGGCTGTTCACGCTCAATTTTCATCTTAAAATTTTATCGCTGTCGTAATACACTCTTCATAAAAGACATAGCAGTTCATTTTAGAGTTTCGACGACATTACAGGGTTTTTCAATCACTTTGTTAATAGCATTCGCCCCATGTAAGATATTGATCCAAGACAGTCTTGGATTCTGGATTCCGCGCTATAAGTGATTTAAGTTTATGATTGTATACTCTAAAAGTAGTAAGGAAATTTATCCGAGAAGATGCTTTTGAACAGAAGAAAATGAAAGAAGCCCGGATTAAAATTTAACCGCGGGTTAGCGCTAATCGGCCTTCGAATAACTGGACCCAGGATTACGGATTTCACAAACAAAAAATTCACAGATTCCAGAATCCGGATTACCTTACATATAGGGCGAATAACTAGTCCCTGGCTCGAGGAAAATATCGCAATTTCCATGATTTCTCTACACAGGAAACAAGGCTTGTATGCCTTTTTTTAAAATTTACTAACAATATATGAGTTAAACTCTTATCTATTGGCACTATTCATGTATTCTTTCTTTAGAGGACAATTGCCGCCATCTTATTCAGATTACCTTTCGGAGAATAATAATTATTCATTCCTATTATACTACTACATGAGAAATTTCTGCAATTTGATTGGCTTAGAGCAGTGGTATTTCAGCTTAATTTGAAATACCTACGTGTGAAAATTACAAATCTAATATGGGTAGTTCATATTTGTTTATTATCGTACTAAACATGCACTATAAAGCGTATTTATGGTGAGCACTATAAAGTTTTAACAGAGTTTAAAGTGAGCGGACTGCCGAGCACTTTAATGCATATTGTTAAATGAAATATCACTTGTGGTATTTATGCCAAATATCACTACAGATCATGCTATTACCTATACTAATACAAGTTCCGCTAACAAAGTACACATTAAGTATGAAAGAACTAATTATAGACGTTTCTCAGTAAGATATGGAACAGTTTGCCAAATTGTCTGAAGGAAATTAAGTCTTTGCAGTAGTTTAAAAGAAAATTCAAATAGTTGTTCAACAGAAATATACTGACTCTACATAGTGGAACATATATACAGTGTAATACTCTTGCCAACATATTCAAGACGAATAAGGCCACCATATTCAATACGAATGTTTGTAATGCATAAATTAAAGGGGACCTCCCCGGAAAAGCTCAGCTGAGCTTGCAGACATCTCCTGCTAATAGATTATGTTATAGATGTAATACAGTTGTAATTAAGTGGCAAATGAAAGATTGATTGATTGAATGATATAATCAATCAAAGAAGCAATCCGCCTCCAGTTTACCGTATTTATTCGAATAAGCGCTCAACCTCGAATTAGCGCCCACCTCGAATAAGCGCCCATCCTAACGGCAGAAAAATTTAATAAGCGCCCAGCCTCGAATAAGCGCCCACCCCCACGCCCAACCCCTCCTCCCAATCAAACTCAAATAAGCGCCCACCTCCACCCCACCCACTTAAGTGACAATGAGATTGAAATTGAAATTGAATAAGGACTAATTACTGGAGAGTTTTAGATCCGAGTTTGCCGCGAACCTCTAACCGCTGGAGGTCACGTGACAAGTCTTTCGCGTCACGTTTGAGGTTTACGCCGTGCGTTTTCACGTATGTCATTTATCTGAAAGGTTTTAGCGTATAATTCTTGTTTTATCCCACGTAATGATACAAAAATCTTGTGGAGCAAGTCTTTATCCATTAACAGAGGCACAAATTCGGGCGAAATGCTAAATTTGATAAATCCTATTGGATCTTAAAAACAAGTGTCATTCATGGCTGGTGATTCAAAATGGCGGCCGTAAAATTGCAAGAAGAACTCATGTAAAAAATTACAGCTCTTTGCTGCTAGATAACCCAGTGTTACCGTAAATTTATTTTATTTTCACCGGCTGATTTTTCTTCTATTTCTAAATGGAAAAATAAACCAGAATCCACTTCTTTAATCCACCGCCAATCTAAATCGAATTATGTTTGAACGTCGAACCGCAAACGGGTAACCGTAAATCGCGGTTAGAGGTTCACGGTAAACTCGGATCTAAAGCTTTCTAATAGGAGACCTCCCCGAGGTCGGAGTTTTCTTCAGAGTATTTTACAGAAACCTTGATTTGTTACTTCTTTGCGTTTTGTTATTAGCATTTATTGTTTTGTTGCAAAATAAACATACTACACTTGCTGAAAATGGTGAAAATTTAAGAAGCGCCCAGCCTCGAATAAGTGCTCACTTCGAATAAGCGCCCACTCTCAAGGTCCAAAAATTTAATAAGCGCCCAGGGAGGTTAATCGAATAAATACGGTAGTCAGAGTTTCGTTTTCATATTAAAGGAAAGAGTGGCCTATGCGGTGAAACCCACTTTGAGGTGTTCTTGTGCTTAGTTTATATAATCATTTAAGGGTTTAATCTAACTGTCTAGAGGTAAGAAAGCTTCTTTTGCAATTAGTGACAGATCTTATTCCCCCTTTTCTGAAAGGCCGATTTTAGCGCTAATCCAGGATAAAATTTAAATCCACAGTTGCATTCAGATTTCTCTAGATTTTTTAGAGTGTCATTTTGTGTTATCATAACTGGATCTCAGAGTAAAGGTTCAAGAACATTTTATAAGTTACAGTTATATGTTTCTAGACAAGAAAACTGCGCTTCAACAAAATTTGACTCTGTTTGGCACAGCTTATTGTGATAAAACCGAGAGATTGGGGGCGGGTGTTCAGTCCTTAGGAAGTTGTTCTGCAAAATTTGGCTGGGGGGAAAAAGGTGACGTGTTATGATAAAGAAAGCTACAAGCACTCTGTCTGGAGGATTAGTGAAGAAAACTGACAAATAAGTGCTGAATCACTTTCGCTAAAGTTTATTTATGCGGAGTCAGTCAGAAGGGTAGGATTGGAAAACGAAAACGTTAAACGATTTACACCAGTCCTTTTTCCTGCAAGTTTAGAAGGACGTTCACCGCCAAATCGGGCCCAAGGGCAATTTATATGCGTATAACCTTGGAATATAACTATGAAATCAGGGGGGGGGGGGATCCAGGATTTTTTTAAGGAGAGGGAACCCAACTAAGAAATGGGGAAATTGATTGGTGGCCCCGCCCATTAGAATTGATTAAAACCCAAAAATAGCAACCGGCAAACTCAGGCTATTCCCCAAAGGGAACCTCTAGGGACAAGTGAAACCGCATGGGGGGGGGGGGGGGGGATCCAGGATTTTTCTAAGGAGAGGGTACACCACTAAGAAATGGCGCAATTGACTGGTGCACCCTCCCCTTAGAATTGATTAAAACCCACAATGAGCTAGCGGCCAACTCAAGCTATTTCCCAAAGGGAAGCTCTAAGGAAAAGTGTAACCGCAGCTAGACTTTAATATAAGATTACGCCCACAAGAATTCGGATATTTTTGAAACCCCATACTTTTTTTACACGAATCGGCCTTCAGTTCACGCGAAGCCAGTGAAGCCGGTCACCGCCGGAAACATCATTGTTTTGAAACCGCTCTCCAGAGCAGTTTAAGGCAAAATATGCGGTTTCAAAAATGTCTGGATTCGTGTGGATATGGCTTCAATATTTGAAATTTCATATATATGAATTGCGGGTAAAAGATTTAACACGTGAAAGAATATATGGCGGTCTTTACTAATGTGTTCGAGTCATTCACTCATGAGTTTATGGTTGCGCACAAAGTGCGATGATCTTTCACGTGTTCAGTTTTCCCCTCTCAATTCAAATGTATAAATAGATATGAAAGTTTATAATTTCACTTTCACGTCTTCATCCTTCACGTCATATTACGAATTCGTAAAGTGAGCAGCTCACAGTAAGCTTCATAGCTCTGAGCACTGCTCTCGTATCACAGGGTAAAGCCTGAATCCCGCCTGTCTTAACCTTAGGAAGCGACACTATGTCAAGCCCCTTCATTCAATCGTGTTTGCACTCTGACCAATAATACAAGGCCATAACGTATTCAAAATCTACAAGACGGTTAAACAGTTGAACGCTTCGCCTAACGGTTAGGTATCAGTGTTACTGTTTGGTGCGCTCTTACTGTATCTGAAAAAACCTTCCAGAGCAATCACGTCATAGAAACGTTTATTTTGCGGGATGCCTTTGAGCAAACTCTATAAAAAATGTTCTCTTATAGTTTAATATGCTTATTTTAGTGACGCCCTTTCCACTCGAAAGTCGTAAAGTTTGAAATGCAATAGCTAAGGCGGGTTGAGAACATGCCCTATCGTGCCGCTTCTTATACTGGTTTGCGAGACTTTCCGCCGTCATTATTCATAGATGTCAATGTCTGTTAACCCTTAGTTATCAATTTTCCTCTCTTTTAAGCCAATCTTATATTTAGTTAATTACTTTCATTTTATGGTTAGCGTTGAAGTTAAATAAATTCAAGAATACTCTATAGGCTGCTTTAAACCAACATCAAAGTTCACCCTTTGAGAACGAGAGTGGTAGGGAACCGTGGTTGAAGATACAGTCATCTCGTTTCCGGTAGTGAGATTTTGGTCTAAGCCTGGAATATCGCAGCAAAAGTGCACAAGCTGAACAAACTAGTTTATCTGAAGCGTTTAATAATCCCAAGAGCACGCTACTCAAGATTTAAGTATGAGTAAGTACGTTAGTTATATTAATTAATGAAATATAACTTTGACTTACCCACGCCAATGAATTGTCAGGCTCCCTATCAATAGACTTTCGCTTTCTAAACTGATTTGAGGCGCCTTTGAGGAAGCGAATTCCGTTAACTCCATCGGTGATAAGTAGACTCATCAACAACAGCACATAAACATGTAGAGGTGTTTGCAACATCTTCACAGGATAAAACGATGCAACTGGGAGAAAAATATCGCAAAAGGTCACCTCATAAGCAAACAACTTGTATGCTTTCAGGTGTGTCTTACACGATAGTACCCAAAACTTACCAAATAGTCAAGTGAAATTTTAAAAAAAATCATGAAATAACAACGGAAAAAAATAACAACACGTGCCACATTGATGTTACACAGAGGTGTGACTAGATGCACATGCAATAGCATGCACTGCAACCTGTTGGTGATAAAACGTTTAACCTCAGATCTCAGATGTGACAAACATATATTTTCTCCTTACAATATCATTACATCATATAGAGAAGAGGTTATGAGAATTAAAAGAAGTGATCACCAAAGAGAAAATGCTTTGATCATTTAGTTAAATTCTCTCAACCAATTCTTTAAGGAAATGTATATAGATCAGTCTGGAGAATAACATGTGAACACTGAGACTTTAGGGTTTCGATAACGACATGACCTCAAATTACAGGGGCACCCAACGACAATTTTCAGAAAAATAACTGTTCGGAAGACGATTTGAGATCTAGAATTTTCGGAACATTTGTTGTAAAATTTCTTGCTTGCCTGCTTCTCCTAGCATTTTCGAACATCTAAAAAATGGTATAATTGCCTATTTTCAACGGATTTTTACCCTAAAAAGGTCACCTAGAATTTTCGGGAGCCTTTTTTCTGGCTGAAATTTTCGAAAAGGTAAGTTTTGATCCCTATAATTTTCGGATCACTAGACTTTCAGCTAGGAAATCCGAACAGATGAAAAATTTTTAGGGGATAAAAATATGCCTATATCTACCGTTTAAATACCAAAATACGTTTAACAATGCTATGTTTAAGTGGTTTTGAACTATATTCTCGTTGGGTGCCCCTGAAATTAGAAAAGTTAAAACGGTAGCTCCCAATCCAGGTGCGTCTTTAATAAATTGTAGCTGCCATTAAAATAATAGCCTGAGTCCATGGTCTCAAATCTCCCGGCTCCCTGTCCCGTAGGAAAGTTTTTCACGTGGTCTGCACAGATTAGCTGGTCTTGTGAGGTCGATGGAAACTCGGGGTGAAAGGAAATCGCTTAAATCGCAATTGATCAGGAAAATAACCACACGGCAAGCAAAAACAAGCAAAGTAAATAGGGTAAGGTGTATTTTACCGAAAATTCTAGCTTGGCTCTATCTTCTTGAATCTTTTACCTGAATTTCCTTACAAATCCTTTTATATTCACGGCCATGTTAAGGATTATGCAATACGAGACGATCAAACTCTCATGTGAGCTTGGGCTGCCTGTAGTCGATCAAGAAAGCAAGCAAGCGGACCGTTTCTTTGTGATATGGTTATGTCGCTGCCTAAGGCCTACGCGAATGTACCTGTGCTGTACGTTGACCAGTTGTTGTTACAGGAAAAACACAATGGACCAGTTGGCTTGAAACTTTCTTGAAACAAGATTGATCAAGATTTGATTTAAGACCTTTGACTTCTGCTGCAAAACGGTCATTTCAGTTACTCTGGAGTTTTGTTTCGTTTAGTACATTTATGAACGGTTTAAAATGGCATGGAATCAGGGCTTTCCATTCATTACTCTGGAAATAGCGAAGGGAATGAATTATAAATGAAAAAAATCATATATATTTCGTTATAGTTCAAAACGCGTCTCCACTTCCTCAAAAAAAAAAATCAATGATCAAAAATGGATTTTCATTATCCTTTAAACCACTGTTTTACTGTCTAAACAAAAAGGCCAGACAAACAATTTAAGTAGAAAATATGCAATTCTAAGCTTCGAAAGAACGTCCTCCTATCCTCTATCACTAACAACTGTTACTAACCTCTTGAAATTCAACAAGCAGAAAGGCATATTTTCCGGCCCCTGGGAATCGAACCTCTAGATAAGTGTAGTGTAATGATATGATAAGTATTCTATCTGTTTCTTATATTTCTCAGAAGCTTCGGGTAATTCTAAGTTTCTGTGTCGTGACCATTTTAAAGGATCTATTTCTCAGTATTTTTATGAAACAGTATATCTTTTATCTTTATCCTCTCTTGACAATGAACACGAAGCCACATTAGGAAAAAATACTGAAGAATTCATGGTATCGAAAATTATGGTAAACGCCATTGTTATATTCCTAGACTTTCACTCAACTAAACAGGGACTGCCATTGGTTGATTCTTGGTCACATGGCCTTGACTAAAATCAAATGTATCCCGATCGTGATACATTAAGCAATGTACCCCGCTCGGGATACATTGCAGCACGTGATCAAAGCATGGTGGAAAGTGGCGTGACAAAAGGCGGGAAAAATACTGCCAGGTCCTGTCAGTTTTCTTTTTCGTGAATGAACAAAACAACACAAACACGAAGCCTCAAGCTAAAAAGCAACGATTTAAAAAGTTATCCAAGAAGTTCCCAGAAGAAAAACAGCAGCTAGTGGAGGAAAATGATGCAGATAATGTAGGGAAGGTACTTTGTAAATCATTCATTCAGCGGTTTTGAGAATTAAATTTGTGTTGCTATAAGTACCGAGTCGACTGTTTTGGTTCGCTCCGGTTATTCTCTCGTTGCTGTTGAAGTGAAAGTCTAGAAATATAACAAAACACTTAATGTCAGGTCCCTCGGGAAACCAGTTAGTTTTGTTTTCCCTCGAGTCCCGATGTTTCCCTCGACTTCGTCTCGGGAAACATCAGGACTCTTGGGAAAACAAAACTAACTGTTTCCCTCGGGATCTGACATTAAGTGTATATTATCAAACTGTATCGAAAGCGCGGCGAGGGCCGAGGGGATCATACTGAAACGCGAGACTTTGATCCAAAGACGTTCATGACCCGCCTGTTTTAATCGCTGCCTCTGTCTTTCCAAGATCAAAAATGTCTTAATAGGGATGAACCTGTGAATAATATCATTGGGGACAAGTAGGTTGAGGGATTTGTAAAGAAGACTCCGCCGAATTGAATGGGATTTGGGTTCCGAGAAGATATATTCTGATTCACTTTTCCATATAACAAATAATGGTGTAAGCCCAATGAGGGAAAAGTTTAACCCTAAACATGAACACCATAAGAGACTTAATTAATAGATACGGAGTGTAATAACCGATAACAAAAGTATGGCTTTTGACAACTTGTTCCCCTTTATACAAGGTACCCATTCACTGATTTTGATGATTTCAAACAAACCTCGATTATGTGGTTTTTTCACGTTAAGTTGGAATCAAATGTTATTTCCAAGTGCCTAGGAGAGTCTACTTGTACGCTAAATGCATCGTTTCTTTCAGTGAGTATATTCTTATCGTTCGATCACCTTTGTAAGTTCCAAGTTCTCTTTACCCGATCGGTCACTGTGGCATTATATTTACTTGATTATGGGGAACAAGATGAGCATAAGAACAGATGAGCAAAACCAAGCAAAATACTTGATAGAAATATGCTCATGGATGATGCAAAGGCCACTGAGCCTGAGAACTTTGCTTTCAGGCAAAAAATTAACTCACACCCAGTGCACCTCTTTAGACTTCGGTACATTTAATATGCTCGCATTTTTTCGAGCAGTTTAGTGAGGCAACAGCATTAAGCATTATTTGAGCATTTTAGTGGAATTTTCCGGAAAATTATTATATTTTTCGGACAAAATAAAAACAAAAAAAATTAAGAAAAAACAAACACTTAACGTTGAAATTCCGAAAACAAAATTCGAATGCCACCCTAAAACAGCCGTTTACAGAGGACTATTTTATTTTTCTGTATTAAAACCATGAATACATTGTTGCTTTTCGAATACAGCTTAATCGTGTTTTTTTTTTCACGTTGAAATAAATAAGAAAAAGCTTCTGTATGATGAGCATTATCGAGCATTTTAGTGATTTTGGGGGTAGACCGAGCATTTTAGTAGAAATATGGAGCATTTTAGTGGCGAAAACAAAGCATATTGTACAAATTAAAAAAAGGTCTACACCTCTGACATTCACTACGTTACCTCTACGAGCCTTGAAGGGGCTGTATAATGTAAAGCTCTCTTTTATCTAACTGCATATACTCTACACAAGAGTCTACAATATTGATAGAATTATTAGAAGATCATAAACAACAACCATGACCAAAATGACCAGCCTACGAATTACAGGCCTACAAGGAGGACTCAATAGACAAAAAAAATCAGACAACGGTTTCTTCGTTAAGCTAGAAAAAATGATTTTTCTTCTTCATTTGAAGTCTGTTAACCATAAGGCAGAGAAATCAACCGTTAGCCGTGAGAATAGCCCTAACTTTCGCGCAATAACTCGATTGGAAAGGCTTGCTACGCAGGCTACCGTAAGAGAAGCCAAAATATTAAGCCGTAACCGTAGATAACTCCAACCCACTGAGAATCCCACGCAACAGTTCAAAAATCGAGTAAAGGTAAGATTTGAACACACGTACATCTGCTAGGCTGATCGTACTATGCAAGAGAGAATTCTTGGGCTACAACACCGTTCTGTCAAGGTTTTATTGCTGTCGTGTCTCTGTGGTTTTTTTGTTGTTGTTGTTGTTGTGTTTTTTTTCCCAAGGTTTTTTTTTCCTGATCAGATTTCTTGTAGATACTACGTTCTTCGACAGATTCGTCTGTGGTCCTTTGCAGCTAGTGTTGTAAATTGAATATAAGATAATGATTTATCAATCAGCAGCTGTAATTACAATGTATGATCTCAAGAAAGGATAAGCTCTTGATGATTGTTGTTTCTTCGTTCCTGTCTCTTTACGAATATCCAATTGGCTGGAATTTGACTGCTTACCGTAACTCAAATCATATGTATAGCAAATTGGCCTTACAGCATCGTCGTTCCCATAATGCAAAGCGGAAGAGCTTTAAAATGGGCTCGTGGTTTTTTGATCTAATTAATGTACAACAGCTGGTTTATTTTCATTTTTTTTAACACCTCAAAGAAATAAATATGCTGTATTATAAAAGTGATGGTTGTGGCTTTGCGGAACTGAAAGAAGGATGTTGAGGTATTTTTTAAAATAAAGCAGCTTTAGTCCGACTCTACCAAATCTTTAAAAAAACAAATGGTAAATATTCAAGGAATTTTTCTGTAGTCAAATAAGAATCGAGGACCTTTCCAATACCGCCGATGAAAGCAAGAGCTCTTGATGAATGATAAGGACCTCTCGAGGGGTTTTTGTAATATCAGGCGTAAATATCCAAGGACAGACTCTGGAACTTCAGCTCGAAAGCATTGGAATAACAAAAGACTTTTTGAACACGATCGAAAGTGAATATAGAATCATTCTAAAAAAGAATTGCCTTGCCGGACACTTCACCGCCGTGAGTACATAGAATTCAATCGAATTGTGAAACAGAATTCATCAGGCAAGACTGCAAGAACTGCAAGACTGTAAGACTGCAAAGCTCGTGTCGGGATCTTAAGTTGAAAGACAGTACCGCAGGGGAAGTCGTTGCCAGTTAATTGTTAATTGAATTAGTCGTAGTTAATTATCTTATCGGAAGAGGCACGTGGCTTCAACACTAGTCACAAATCGTTAGTTTTTAAACAGACACCGTGGTTGTGTACCATTTACATAGGCAAACCGGTCGGTCCACGGTATAGGCAAATGGTACGCAAAATTCACGACCGTGGTGAATTTCGTCCCGGAATCACGTTTACCACTTGTACAAATCAGATCCATTTACCGGAAAACGACCGCAAAGGCCTGAACCGGTATTAAAGTTGACTTTGAAGAAATGGAACACTAATTTCCGATTGTAATATTCCGCCCGCAAAAACAGGACTACCTTTTCAGATGTTTCGTTGCTCCCGCAAATTTTCCGCTGGAGCGATCCAAAAAGTCGTGTTCCGTTCACTTTCCAGCCGGATTTCCCGGACAATTTTGGTGAATGGTAAACAACCCATTTCTCTTGACTCTTCTTGAAAATTTCTTACATTCATTCTTCAACTCCTTTGTTCTCACTGAAGTGTGACTCTATCCTTCCCCAATGTTGCGCTACTTTGGAACAATGAGACGACTGTGATACCCAAATCACCATTGAGGAATGGAAATGGAAACGGCACACGAGTGTTTCATTTTTGACTAGTATTGTAACCTGCGAATACAAGCCGTCTCTCCCGCTCGCTGAGACAGCTGTATTCGCAAGCTAGCCACGTGGCTTTAACTGATATTTCGGCACTCTATGAAAATCGAAAATGGAAGCGCGTGGCGTCCATTTGGATTTTGAAACAAAATTATAAAACCTGATTTAGTATAGCTAATGGTATACTTTTTTTTTTCTCTGAGTCAATAGCCCATGAGGCCTTCGGCCTCATGGGCTATTGACTCAGAGGCCATGAGGTCGAGAGGAATAATTGTTTCAGTAAAATCCAACTAGTTGGTCAAAACTATCGAGACAAAGCAACTTTAGCTAGCAAAACGCGATTCAGCTGCTATTATTTTGGTTTTCAAAGCCGGCGCTTTTCTCTACTAGTGGGCTATAACATATAACCTAGTAGTCGCTCAACCAATCAGAACGCAGCATTGATAATAGACCACTAGTTGGCTTTTTAAGTATACGACAACTTAAAGAACGGATCACAGCAAAATAAAAATCTTTTAAATGAATACAGTCAATAACTTAAAAAAACAGAGGGCGGAACAGTTAGAATATTTCTCTTTAAAGGGATGAAAGACTCCCGCGGACCGCAAGAGAATTTCGCCCATTCAAAATACTTAATCGCTTCCTAAGCCGTTATTTTGTATCTGCAAGAAGAAGCAATTTACTTTTAAGATTTTAAAAATGGTAGACTTAACCGACTTACCACAGCGAGACATGATTTTTCGACCTGAATTTTAATTTTAGCCATGATGGTCGCCGGAATAAACTACTGTTGTAACCCAAAATCGTTAGCTTGTAGTTTTAATTTAAAAGCTAAGTCGGGCCGCCAAAACGGGTATTTTTATTCATTATTAAGAGAGTTTTATTAGTTGTATTAATCACAAAGGTAATCAAATTCAGTGTTTTTGTTGCAAGAAGTATGATTACCAGATATTTAATTACGACAAAAGCTTCTTTGTGGAAATTAAGATTGTTATTTTTTGAGTGTTTGGGAGATATTTTTAAGGGTTATAATATCTTTAAGCCTCTGGTTTTGTTTAAACGGTCCAGGAGAATTACGACTTCCTATAAAGCTTTACTGAAACGAGAGAAACCATAGATAGCCCAACGTCATTATTTTCAACTGTTTTAAATTTATTGGATGCCATTCCTCTATTACTAAATTTTGATGTGAAATAAATTATTTGAAATTTAAACCTCATTACTTGCCAGTTTCTGTTCAAAGTTGCCGCAAAGCGGTGAAACGCGACAAAATATTGTCAGCTATTCGATTTCCATGACTTTGAATGTGAGACCGCCGACAAGGGAACACCGAGATTAATTATTGACCGTGTAATCAGTAGAATAAAAATGCGTGGTTGTTTAATTTAAGGCGTTAGGCAAATATCATTAAGCTTTTATCAGCAGATTTTTCATTTGTACACGAGTTGTCTGCCTGAGCGAACGCTTTCGTTACAGGAGACTATCACCTTGTCAGACCAGTATCAACTAAATAGCCCGCCAAAAACTTTCAAAGAGTAACGGAAACCTGTACGTCCCATGGTTAAGAACAGTATCGTCAGCAACAAATTGGAAAATATCACATTTTACAAATACAAGACACAGGTTTTTTATGCTATCAAGTGGATTCCTTTTAAGTTCAAGGTTACCTTGCAATCGGCGCTGTAGCAATCTTCCACGTTAATACAAAGGGTGTCGTTGTTCGTGTTTGTCCGCCTGGCAATCTAAATTATTGAATTTCCCTCTCTCGCTTAATAAACAATCAGGAATGGGCTGTGATTGGTAGATACCGATCGTATCCGAAAAGATCACACTTGGGAACTTGTCATATCTGCACGATCAGTCCTTATCTTTGCAATGTTACTTTCCAGTTGAGAGGAAATTAAAACTAATTAGAACTTTTGATGAGCGTAAGAGAATAATTGCAGGGATTTTAAGAAAATTTGTTATCTTAGTTTTAAAATTCTTTTCCCCCAAAGTTTTGACGTTCAGATTTTCGTCTGTTATTTGCCGGCTATTCAAAACTCTTGACTGGACAAGGTCACGATCTGGGTAACACCCGTTCACGCAAGCTAATAGCACTGTCACAATTACCTTATTTAATTTATTAAAAACAGCACTGAAAGCACAATCTTATCTCACCAAAACCACGATAGTAACAGTATAACAGATAACGTTAAACGCCACTCATCGTGGAAAGAACTTAAAGTGTACTAAAATCAGTGCATAAAGAATACGCAGAGAATAATTCTCGTATCATGATGTTATGCTTTTGTCGGTCCAGATGGTATTACACGTATTTTTTCGGTTTTTGTACACTTCATATATGTTGATTGAATTTTAATGAAGATAACCGGAAATTCTTGACGGTCTGAGAGGTGACCTTTTCGTGCAAGACTCTTGCCAAGAACAGTGAAAGCAAATATGTATCGGTCACATTGGTTAACTCTGGTCAACACAAAGTGTACTAAGCCTACTTACTTTAAATAATTTTATTTACGAGAAAATAAAATTTTAAAATTTTAAAAAAATGCTGACACGTAAATGATCTCCCCAGTTTACGATGAAATCTGCTGAACCAGAACTTAGGATCATATAAAGGTTCGAAAGTTTTGCCTGAAAAGAATTTGACAAATTAGGGGCTGACTAAACATTTCAAGTTCGAAATTCCAGCCTGGCATCATTTTCCCCTTTGGATATTAATAGAGCTTAGTCAGTACATGGGAACGCGGTAACGAAAATTAAAATGAAAGAAAAAAGACATCTAAATAATGCGATTAAAATTATCCAGATTGTTTGTAAGGTTTTTCATTGGACAAAGTAACTGCATCGATGTGCGTTGACTCCACATAGGAATCAAAGCTGTGCCTTTCAATCCATTACTGTTTTTGAAGCTTTATTTTTCTCTAATTAATGAAAATTTTTATGGCCTTTTTGCCAAGCATTTCTTATCAGTGTTTCCAAGAGCCATGGCTCTTGGTGTTTCATCGCTTTTTTTTTTTTTTTTGTTTCATTTTTTTAACCACTGACAATTCAGCGCCCTTATTTCCAAGAATGATAAAAAGTAGATTCAAGAACCGCAGCATTTCTCAAGCCGCCTGGTGCACAGAAAGCATGTCTTTTTGAGGAAATCCTTTGGAACGCAAGGGGTAGTTGTAAATAAGCACCAGGGGGGGTGGGAGACCAGGAGAATAGGGGACGAAGGGGTACGGGAGGCGGGAGAGGAAAGGACGGAAGGTGGGAGCCCCAAAATAGTGGGAAGCTGGTAAAATAGGGGGAATTACGCAACCGATATTTCGTATCTCAAGACTGGACTAAAGCGAGGAAACCATGAAAAAAGGGGCGGGGATGCGATAAGGGAGGCGGGTTTGGACTCCCCTTCCCCCTCCCCCACCCCTATTATGCCAAGATAGTGACAAGATATTCACATTTATCAAGGGCATTGAATAAATAACCCTGCTTGACGAGCATCGGGCCAACAATGAACCGTAACTACAATCAGACGTAGGGCCCGCTAAGGGGATCTACTATACCAAGTTTGAAAAAAAAAAATTCTGGCTGGCTGTGCTTAGTAAGGATACGGTACTGTACCAAACTCATTACACTACAGTATCGAACCGTACTTACAAGCTCAAACCTTGGACTGTTAACCATCTGGCCTTTCGATACATGGTTGGCCTTTCATCTCGATTTCAGCAATTATCATAGTAAACGCTTTTCAGTCTATCGTTATTTTCAAAAAAAGATAACTTATGGACATTAATAGTTTGCAATATAATTTCCTTACGTGATATTGGGCAGTTCAGATAGGTCAAGTCCTCAATCCTCAACATGAGGTTAGTACGGCTAAAACAACAAGTCAACACTGAACAAGTGCCATCCAGATCAACCAACTGCACTGTGATGTATTCAGAAGATGAAAACGTGCTTCCTCGTTTGCGGGGCCGCCGAGCTGACATGAACGAAGAACGATGTTAGTTTTAATTTTTTCAGTAATCTGTAAGTGAATTTTGCTATGCAAATACTCAAATGGAACCTCATCAGAAGTTCTTTCACTTTTTGCTATCTGCCGTGGTACAGCCGAGCTTTTAAAAAATATAACTTACCTTGAGGACTATAAAGATCTAGACAATCGGAAGTTAAACATCAGCAGCTCCTCTGGTGGACTGTCCAATACTTCAAGTTTAGCAAAGCCGCTGAGTGCGTCTCTAATTATTGCCAGGTGTACAGAGCTGTTGTCATCGCCACAATCCTGTATCGCAGGCAAATTTTCGACTACTTGAACGTTGTCATTAACCCTGCTTGCGGACAATTCTTGAAATTAAATTTCTAACCAAGTTGCTCTTGAAACATCACAACTGCTAGCATTGAATCAACTTGCTCCGTATACGGTTGAGTTAAGCTGATCGCATGAAAACACACGAAAAGAATAAAGGCCATAGGAAGACCTCTTTTGGGTGAAGGCCGATAAACTCAAAACTCGAGGTGCCCCAAGGCAAGCTAAAGGCAATATGAATTTACTGTGAATCGTCGAATCATTTGACTATCATCACACTGGGGATGACTTCGTCAACACTTAAGGCTGCTCAGCAACAAGACCAAATGAAACTTTGAAACATGTTACAAACATGTTGCTTCATAACTCAGGGAGGGCAACTGACAACTGAGCGTAAACTGGTCAACGGTCAGAAATGGTATGTTTTATTCACGCACAAAGTCAACCGGTGACATTTTCTTTAGGAAATCGAATTCACTTAAAATTTGTGTGATATCAAACGTCATTGTTCAATTGAGTTCGGTTAAGTCCACGTTAACTTCATTTTAAGCTTCGTTTACGTTCTGTTTCGAGGCATTCAAGATGATAATCCGAGATTTAACGCAGGTACCAGGTTGAGAAATCTAAATAGAGATCCTTGGAAAGCTGGCCTTACCTGCGTGCGCGTTTACCAGAAATTTTAGGCGTAAACCGGGCCTCTGGCGCGAAATGAGACTTTTCTTGGGCCCTGTAAATCTTCAAAATAATCTCAAGTAGCTGTAGAAACACAGTTACAGGGAGACCACTTATGGGCAGAGAATGGACCGAAAATATTTACCATCCGCATGCAGAAAAGGGCACAAGGATTATATCTTTGATGCTAAAGAAAAAAAGGACACCCAGTACTTTAAAAAAACTGTAGACTAGTGACTCTACCTGAGGGTTGCAGTTGTCGCTAATGAGACGCACTTTCACCAGCTGTACGACTTGTGCGAATTGAACCACTTGACAGGGGCCTCCTCTCGACAACTTTGCCCACAAATTCTAAGTGTCTCTGATGAGGCGTGATGCTATTTTACCAGTTGTACGATTCCAACGAACCGCACCACTTGACAGGACCACCTCTCTACACTTATCCATTTGTCTAATGAGATGGACACAGTAATTTTGAGGGAGTTATTATACCCCAAAAATGGAGTAAAAATTTCAGGTACAGGATAACCCCTTTTATGGGTTATTTTAACTCCTGATTTAACTCCAAAATTGGGGTCATATTTACTCCTGAAAAAGAGTTCTTTCACCTTCAGTCTGGAGTAACTCCGAAAATGAGGTTATTTTTACTCCTTACATGGGTTGTTTTTACTCTCTTTGGAGTTACTTTAACTCTGGAAGTGGAGTAAGAATTTTTAGGTACAGGATAACTCCTTTTTGGGGGTTATTTTAACTCCTCAATATCTGCAGGGGTCATTTTTACTCCTGAAAAAGAGTTCTGTAAACTCCTTTCTTAGGGTTAAAATAACTCCCCCAAAAAATAACTCCTCTGTAAGGAGTTAAATTAACCCCACTAGAGGAGTTATTATAACTCCTTAAAAATTACTCTGCAGAAAAGTTATTTCACTCAAACGTATCGCATTCACAGCTTGATGAACCAATCGCACAACTTAACGACTCATAACACTTGATTCTTAGATTTTACGACTTGAATAAGTGGTGATTATCGGACATGTGTGGAACTTAAGCAAGATTATAAAATTGCGACAAAACCATTACTCACCGGTTGGAAAAGGTGTTGGAACATGATTCAGTTCATCCAACTCAAACAGATTACCACCTAAAAAAAAACCTACGTTACTGTCTCAATGCTGACGCTGTAGCGCTTCGTCACAAAGTCAAATTCAAAGAAAAGAAGATCTTGTTGATAGTAAACAAACCGAGTGCATGTTCAGTTCTACTGCAGGGGCGGATCCAGGATTTTTTTTAGGAGGGGGTGCACTCGTCTCTTGCTCTGCTTCAACACCAATAAACCACATAGTTTTTTTCTTTTTGCAGAATACCAGTTGTATTAGAAAACCGCAGGTCATCTCAGGGGAGGGTGCGCACCCCCCGCACCCTCCCCCTAGATCCGCCCCTGTACTGTGAGATTATTAGGCATCCACAACGACGATAGCTACGAAGAAAACGTCACTTAAAAAGTGAATTCACGCTGTTTCAAACCAGTTTATTGCTCTTATTTCTTCTCGTTCGATTTGTCAAATGTTTGCGACTTTTGGCTGGATTCTAATTCTAAGGGACTGTATCTAAGTTAGAAAAAGTCATATAATGATTCTTCAGTTCACGTCCTCCAGAATACCATAAACCAGGAGGTACACGCCACAATCGTGCAATGACGGTAAAGAAATGTACAAAAAAGCGTGCTGCGCGTGTAAAATTGTCTATTGCTTTTTCGCAGTTCTCGTTGTCGTCGCCGTCTTGGGTGCTTAAAGTTCTTGTTACATGAGACGATTCGCAATGCCGATTTTTAGCGCAACACAGCGTTGCAACATTGTTGCTGTGTTGCGCTAAGAATCGTCGTTGCGTATATGGAAAATTTTTTTCTCGCTCATTTGCACTTGACTTGGCACGTGTGAAGTCTAGAGTTTAAAACGGACCTTACCGTATCTCGGTCACTGGGTTGAATCATTAGGCTCAGGAAAGTCAAATTGGTAATAACGTATCAAGAGAGAATAATGGAACGGAGCCGGATTTAATCTTAGGGCGTTGGCTGAGATATGCATGCGAATTTCACTAAAGTTATTTTTAGAGATTGTAATTAAACGGAAGTCTGATTCCTAAGACGTCCGCACATTTTAATAGATTGTTTGGACTAAAGGTGTAATCGTCAGACGTTTATCGAACAGGTTAGGGTAGATTTGAAAAACTATACAGCATGCACCCCGTCATTTCCCAAATCGTTTCCATACAGAGGCCTTGTTGAAATTAATGTTTGATTTGTTATGCCTTCTGCAGGCAACAGCAGCGGCCTTCGTGCGGCATGTTCTCGTGTGGAAAAACCGGAAAAATCACTGCAAGTCCTTTGGTGAATTATTTGAAAGCAAGTAATAAGGTGTTAAAAGGAGGTGCACTTTTTAGCTGTAGCATATATCCCTTCCGTCTATTTTTCTATTTTGTTTGTTTTTTAGCTTCAACATTGTTCAGGTACCCACGTGCCTACTAGCCTGTAGTACTGAAGATGTCGAGGTCCGCCCAGCTAAAGCCGGTGCGGAAAGCGACCTTTCCAACGATTTCAGCATCAACTTTAGAAGGAGTTGCCGTCGAACGTGTACTGGGGACCTAACAAAACTTCGACGGTGATGGCAACGGCAACAAAACAACTCTGCAGGTGCACCACACTTTTTTTTGTAAATTTCTTTGCCGTTCCTGCACGACTATGACGTGAAATGACCAAATTTTAAGTTTTTTTGAGGACGGGAACGGCAAGGAGATAAATTTAACCATCTCTGTGTGAACTAAGGAGCGGCCCCCTCTCTTCAGCACCAACAGAACTTCCCTTCTTTTAAGTAGCTGGGTGACTTGGGAAAATGAAAAGTAGACTGCAAAACGGTCGGTTTTTTCTCAAACTGAATCAGCAGGGAAATCTCGCTTTCTGTTTTCAGCCTCGTTCCAAACCTTTGTTTGACTGCTCGCGTGTACTTGAATATACGCAAAAATACGGACTGTTTTGCAGTATACACTGTAATTTTCAGGGAGTTATAATAACTCCTCTAGTGGGGCTAATTTAACTCCTTACAGTGGAGTTATTTTTCGTGGAGTTACTTTAACTCCAAAAAGGAGTTTAAAGAACTCTTTTTCAGGAGTAAAAGTGACCCCAGATATTGAGGAGTTAAAATAACGCCCAAAAAGGAGTTACCCTGTACCTAAAATTTTTACTCCACTTTCAGAGTTAAATTAACTCCAAAAAGAGTAAAAACAACCCATGTAAGGAGTATAAATAACCCCATTTCGGAGTAATTTTAACTCCAGACTGGGAGTTAAAAGAACCCTTTTTCAGGAGTAAAAATGACCCCAAATTGGGAGTTAAATTAGGAGTTAAAATAACCCCCAAAAAGGGGTTATCCTGTACCTAAAATTTTTACTCCATTTTTGGAGTTATAATAACTCCCTAAAAATTACGGTGTATTTAAAACGATACGGAGTCTAGTTTTCAGTGAGGTTTTATGGACGTCGCCGTTGTCGGATCGTAAGGCCCCTACTAGGGAGTTTTGTAACGACGGCAACGAGAACGTCAAAAAAGCAATAGGTTTATCAAGAAAAACATCTAGTTTGCACGTACATCGCCGTTGACGTTTTGACTGCCGCCGCCGTCGTCGATGCTAAAATTCCCTGATGCCGTATACTTCTCGGAGAGCTGAACAATGGAGGACATACTTTAAAAAAAATTACATAGCACCAGTAAACTTCGGAACGTGTACACTCCGAGCAGCGTGGCCAACTCACAAAAAGGCAACCCTATCGAAATTCACCACCAATGTCGAATGTCATCTGAGTGAGGAGAATTCGATTGGAGGACAATCGAAGACG